GTTGACTTAAAGACAGCCTATATGTTTGAATACAAATGGAAAATACAAACTTGTTGTGTTGCTTTGGGCATTGCTTGTATCAGTAATCTGATCTTAATTTCACAGTTGACTTGGAGCAGGGAGAAGAGGGGGAGCATGTCACCTCCTCTCAGAAACAACGGTTTGTTTAGGGCCCTCTCACATCTGGACACACAATCTGGCGATATCAGCCACTGCATCTGTAAATCAGTGCTATCACTGCTACTGAACACACTAACAGTCACCCAAAGCAAATCTATTTCACAGATATGCAGCTAGTTTGATTATAACTCACCAATGCCACGCACCCTTGTGGCCATGACATTGTGAAATGTTACTTTTTTTTTTTCATCAAGTTTTAACTAGCAGACAAAAAAAGTAAGAAGCTGTGCCTCCGGAGAGTCTTTTGAATTCAGATATAAATGTGCTTGGATGGACAAAAAACTTCAGAGTCTGATTTGCTGCAAAATAAATTGCTAGACCCCTCATAAAAAGAGGAGTTAAATGTTGAAGGTCATGTGATATTGAAAGCCAATGCAGTGTAGCATCCAGCGTGCATCCACTAGCATCCACTCCATTACAACATTAGCAACTAATGTTTTGACATTTGTCTTCATTATTATCAATGAACAGAGGCGATTGAGCCACCAGCATGCTCCATTACCTTCCTTCATTGCACAGTTGCACAGTTGAAATCACACATTAGGGTGGATCCAACATGAAATGACAAGTTACAGGGGCTAAGGACGCTCCAGCTGATTATTTAGGTGGTGGAGGGTGAGAGGTCTGGATGAACGGATGGCGGGGTGGAGCCGAGGCAGGGATGGGAGTTAGGGAATTGGTAGAGAACTGTATTGGCATTAAAGTCTGGGGGCGCAGAGCTGCACAGCGCACCTTAAGAGGAGAAGCTCATTTCAATCGGTATAATTAGCCTGTGGTAATGAAATAAGTCAGAGGCACTGCCACCTTTACTTAAGAGAAAATCGATCTGCATTTTAGGGAGTTTATTAAAGCTTAGGAATAATGGGGAGAAAGGATAGAAGAGGTGGAGGAGATGGGGGGGGGGGTTAAGTTGACATTAACAGCTAATCAGATAAGAAGATGTGCTAGCGCTTGACAAGAAGCAGAAGAGAGATCAGCTGGAGTTTATCAAAGCAGATGTGTCTGAGGTCTCTGCTATTTCACAGCGAGAAGCCAGGGGATGCTAGAGCTATGCACACAATGAGACCTACAGCCTGAATTAAGATGACATCACTCTGTGGGAGAACAAGCCAATCAAATCGTGGTGTAACCTGACTGATAGACAGCCACTGGGCGTCCTCATTACGGTGAGGCTGCAAAGGATTCCCATGGAAGCTTGGTCATGGTCAGGAGCTGGTAACAACTTGGTAAGAGCAGGGTGTGGTGAGATAATCACTGATGGACCTCTTTCCTCAGGTGCCCCAAATGCATGCTGGGATGCTGGGGGTGCTGCTTGCTCATTTATCCAGCCGTCTGGCCGACTCACCTGGAGTGATGGGGGAGACGTCAGGAAGGCAGGCTGCTATTTCACGGCCTGTTAAGCGCTAATGCCGCAACATGCCCTGCGCTCCAATTTTAGGCAACAGGGAGCATTACCACCCAAGTAAAGGTTCTGTCCTTCTGGACAGTGTACTTGGAGAGCGGGGGAATGAGTTGTGGAGGAAAAAGGGGAGCACAGAAGAGGGAGTGGAGCAGGACGATGAAAAATCTAGTGAAATAATTAAAAGACAGGGAAATGAAAGACAGAGAAAGAGAGGGGAGAGAGAAAGATACTCAAAGAGAGTAAAAAGTATAGACAGAGAGAGGGAGGGAAAAATAGAGTAGAGCCTTAGTTTACACGGGCTGCTGAGCCAGCACTGCGGAGCAGACAGGACAGCAGCAGCACGCACTGACATCCACTCCTGCCACGCTAGGCTGCGTCTTGCAGGCCCCAGAAGGCCCCTCGCTCCAGGGCTCGCAGCCTTTTTCTCGCCGGAGCCACTGAGCATCACTTGCCTGAACCACCCACAACACTTGTCCTCTCTGTGCACTAAACCTGGCCCATGTAATAACCACAGAACCTCTATTAGGGACCGGGTGTCTGGGGAATCAGAGCAGATACACAGCACAGCACGAGTGATGAAAAGACTCCTGTAAAACAACTGAGGTTATGTTCAAGTTAAGTCGACTCTTTGCACTCTTGTATAATGAATGATGTATTTTAATGGATCTTTCTCTTCTACTTCTAAATACAGTTTTACGCAGAAATAGATAGCCCTTTATTCTTCCCTGTGGTCTCGTACTTTCAATGAACTAAAGGCAAAGGTCAAGTCATTTGTATGTGCTTACAATAAACATGGTGGGTCATGGTTCCCATCATAGGCTGTTTGCAGCAGTGATGGATCACCTCCTCTCTCAGTCTTGAAGGTTGAGGTGTAAGAAAGACATGACTCAGGTCCTCCAAGGTTGCAGGATGTGTACATAAACAGTCTCAGCAGCGCAAGCCAGCACAGACAATGTGTGCGTGCACTGTATCTTTATGCACAGGCAGGCCTGCTATATGTATGTGAATTAGCAGTAGTTAATGTCCAATTGCTGCTAGAATATATAAGTCTTTATCTGTTTGTTTTTTATATGTATGTAAAATTGTTATTGTGATACAGAATATGTCTATTTTAAGTGTGTGTTGATTGTTATGTATGTACCCACCCAGGGACTGCAGATTTAAATTAGCTAATAGCTAAATGTAGCATCAATTATCTCTTCTATTTTTGAAATTACGGTATTTGTATGCATGGTCCTTGTTTAATAAAGACATAATAATAAAGATAATTTCTATGTTATCCCATGAGGCCCTGAGTCAGTTTCTACCTCTCTCACCTTCACACCTTGAATTGGCACTGCTGCTAACAGCAATTAGCTGTGGTAAATTAGACCGGTTACAACATAATGGATCTCTCACAGCAGAATAACAGGATGGAGTTTTACACTCAGTGAACAGCCATCAGTCTTTATGTGTGAGTCATGATGACTGTGCTTTAGTACATCCTCTATCTGATGTTGTTGCACACTACAGGTTTAGCGTTTGGACAGCCTCTGACTGGTAATTGCTACTGATGGACACAAAATACTGTATTAGTCACCAGTAGTCACAGTAACTCAATGTTCATGTCCAAATTGCAAAGGAAAGTGTATTCCTTTAAAACTCAAATGTTATATTATTGTATGCCCCATTTTTGTTTTCCAGCACATGTTCAATGCATCTTATAAAGTGAGCCATCGGGCATCCCTAGCACAATTCAGTCACGATGCGGCAAGTGACCAGAACTAAATAGCACAACATGTAGCACATAAAATGAATCTGAAGACTGCCCTGGATTCAGGACTTCCTTGTGTTTTATTTCACGTGATTCCTCACCTTAAGAGCCAATCTCATTGGATATGGCTTGCAAGGAAATGTCTTTTTTTATATTAGTTGTATAAAGCTGGGACTGCTGGTCACAGAGGTCTGGATATTTTTATACCATATATGTTTCTCCTTGTCCATGGTGACAGCTACAAAACCACAGAAGAAAACGCGCTATAAGCGGCCAAGAGAAGAACCCAAGTTACAGTGTGCTGTGATGTGCCAGTTACGAGAGTTGCTTTAAAGTAAAAAGGCTACTTTTCTGGAGCATTGAACAGAATTGATGCTGGAAAATAGGACAGTGGCATAATGTACACTTTTCTGTTATGGAGCAGTGCCTCTTTTTGCTGATGTTGACCAAACTGATATAACAGACAGCAGAAGTAAGGTAAATAATTGTGTATTATTAATGGAAATCTTTAGATATACGTTTACTTGTATTTGTATGCATCAGCTGGCCTTTGAAATAACTGCACATGTACAAGTCATGTTTACCAGACAGGAGCCAGTTATTTCACCTACCATATCATCAAATACATTAAGTAAGAAATGCTAGCTTTGCCCTTTATGTAAGACAGCACTTTCCATCCCTTTCTGCAGGCTTATGTGTACTGCAAAATTGTGGGAATTGACAATAACCTGTATTCACCTGGTAATATAACCGTATAAATGCATGCTGGCTGAGTAAACCTTCTGAGAAGCCAGAACTGTCAGGAAGCAGAAACATTTGTAACAGTCTAAAACGATGGATGTGTGTAGTCCCAACAGGTTATCAGACCTCTGCAGGACCGGAGATGACACTGAGCTGGCAAGGGGAGGGAAGAGGGCCATTTTCTTAGAGTGACAAATATCTGGAGGAGTACAAACAGGGAGCAAAGCCCTTGTTGAGAGAATGCCTGAGCTTTGTCTTTGTCGCACTGTGTGACAGACTCACAGCACCGCTCCCTGAGGTGTGTGGTTACGCGGTGTGTACATGTGCACACACGGAAAAAGGACACAAAAATCCCACATCTCTTATTACTCTTCTTTAACTTCTGTGCTTTCGGCACCTGTGAAAAACACCAGACTTACACTACTGAAACTCAGGAAAAGATTCTGAGGTTGAGACGTCTTATAATTGGATTGCTTATATTCAATCAGGGCGTCAACACTGTATTGGCACCACCTGAGCCAGCCAGACAGATACATCCGGTCCTTTTATTGCCGTGGCTTGTATAGGGAGTGACGTGGGGTGAGGTGTAGGAACGCTAGCTCCACAGTACTGCTTTGAGCCAGCAAGATTAATGTAGGCTCTCTGGAGCAAAGGCAACATCCACAGCCTTAATAAGGTACAAACAATCGGTTCCACTCCACTGGCTTCCCAGGGAAACTATTGTTGTGCCGCATTGTTTCTTGGTAAGGCTCCTCTGAGACATGGGTCTACTGCAGCATGTGACTGTCTCCATTACAGCCAGGGGAGAGCTCAGTGTAGACCTGTGTTAGTCTGTGTTAGTGTGAAGGCTGGCTCTCGTCCATCCCAAACCCACCCCCACCTGTTCACTCCCTCCAAAATCCAAACTCTTGTAAGCGCACTCACCTCGACTCCTTGCACTTTCAACTTCATGTGATCCTCCCGTGTGGTCTTCCCGTCTTTCCTCTTCTTCCAGCAGTAGCCATCCTTTCTGTACTTCACCTTCTTCCTGTTGTACAATATCATCGACCCATTCTGCGGCCTGGATCCGTGGAGACGGGACAGAGAGAGGGGAGAGCAAAAGGGAAAAAAGATGAGAAGGATTTTTAGGCAAAGCAGCACAGCTCGGGGACTCATTTGAGAGATGTACAAAGAGGCCCGACACAAATCTGCACCAGGCAGAAAATGCACCAGTGACTTAGATGACAAGACTTCTTTACGGTGTTTTTTAACACTGGTATGCACACTTTGACGATGAACAAAGCACCCTTCAGCATACATTTCTCCCAATGAGAAGAGTGTGTGCTGGGAGCGGCTTAAGTGTCACCTCTTCTCACTGAGTCAATTACATGAAGGACAGTGTGTAAGGCAAGTCGCTTGGGTTCGGGGGAGCTGGAGTTGGGGGGGCTTCCTTTTTTATCTCTCATTCATCCAACTTAAATGAGTTGTGGTGTTGGAAGTCCCTAAGGGGGAGCGAAGATCCTCCCCCACACTCCATTCATAATTCATTCTCCCTCCACCAGACCACAGCCTGTAGGCTCATGATGACATCATGTAACTATTTGATGATAATCTGCGTTTCCACTTCGATTTGTAACGGAGGCATTTGGCGCTCAGTGTTAAACATTAACAGAAAGTGTAGCATAAAACATTTATGGCTTACGCAACAAATAGTGAGCGGTATAACATGTTTTTGAGTGGGTTTATTTGTTTTTGATTGTATTGTTGAGTGGCTGTGTGTCATCGGTATGAATCCATACATATGTCACATTCATTTCCCACACAGTTTTGCACTCTAACACACACACACACACACACACACACACACACACACACACACACACACACACACACACACACACACACATTCATATTTCTGAAATGAGAACAGCTTTGCCTCAGTGTTTGGGGCCTCACAGTGAATAACTAGGAAAGCAGCTGAAGAAGCAGTTTAACTGTTGCTTAACCAACCAATCAGCAGGTGAGCCTTATCAGCCACGTGTTCATTGCTTACATACACAGACACAACACACCCAGACACAAACATATACAAACAAATATAGCAAAACTCAAAGAACAAAAGCTGGGTAGATTTGTGTTGTCTCGAACAATATTCAAAATAAGCAAAACCCGACGGTTGTCTTGAATTGTTTGGTTGTTTATTGTAAAGGTTTTTCTTTTTCACAAGGTTTATTTATAACGCTGCATGCATCATTTTGCAGGGCTGCCTTTTGGGGCCAGGGCGCGTGTTTATCTTGGTATCACTCATCAATCATTTTTCCCGGTCGGATCTCAGGGGCCAGCGGAGAAGGAGGAGAAGTAGGGGGGGTGGGGTCCCTGCAGTCCCCCCTCTGTGGCCCCTGACAGCACCTTCTAATGAGAGACGCCACTCACACATTGACATGCTCAGTCCTTGCTGATCTCCCTTCTTCCCTTTCCTCCTCCCTTCCTCTCTCTACAGCCCTCTCTTCTTGCCGTCAGTCAACTCAAGCTGCGCTCCAGGGACCGTCTTTGTCTCCTCCCTCGCTCCGTCTCCTTTCCTGCCTTCTCTCCCCCCCCCCCCCTCTTGTTTCATCTGTCTCAGGATTTCTTAACGCCACTCTCCCACACCGCCCTCTCTCCTGCTGTTTTCTCCTCACTCACTGCCCTCCCTTGTTCAATACTCAGCATACTTTGCAGAAAACAACTATTAAACAGACACTTTTATTGGTCAGTTTGAAATGTGGAACTGCTCAATGGCTGTGAGGGATATACACAAAGTATAAATTGTGTTCTAGTTTACAGCATCCGTAATGTCACCCGTCGTCGAGGAGCGGTCATAAATGGCACTCATGAACTAAGAACTTTGCAGATTGCTACAATTTCAAGATATTTGCATCCCAAATGTCGTTTGAAGGACACTCGTTTGACATGCCGGCGTCAGCACTTGGTATCAATCAAAAAGCAGAATGGCCCCCTCTACCAGGGCGATTCCTATTATTTGTTTCAATATCATTCTCGGTTTTGTCCTTCAAAAGATACAAGGAGCGTGTGCTTCTTAAAATGTAGCTCAGCTTGAGACAAAAAGATGGGCGCAGATGAGATAAGGCAGAAAATCAAATGACACAGGGCTATCTGATCTCCTCCAGAGCACTGGAAATTGGGGTGAGGCTTCGGTGTCAAAGGCTCCACGCCGTATTTATCGGCTCTGCGCGAAAACGTATTCGCTCAGCTATTTTTGAGGGACTGTTAAGTAGATGCTATTTTCAATTCAAGGCACTTTGGACCCGGAGGAAAGCGGCTAGGCATCCACTCTGGAGTAGGCCTAAGGCAGAGGCCAGTCTAAAATGCATGCTATGGCAACATAATGTGTCTCTTCCACTCCTGCTGTCTCCCTCCCTCCCACTCATCCATTTCCACTGTATACTTAGGCGTTTCAATTAATCTTATCAGAATTATACATATTTATACATGAGGGGAAAAGCTAACTGCTCTGTTATCAAAGAAGCATGACAGGGGGCTCTCTGTCTCAGATGCCTAAATGTGGCAGATTAATATGGAAATACAGGCCTCTGACAAAGTGCACACTGCAGCCTTGCTCTTCTTTGGAGTTTGCAACGATAATAAGCTTTACCCTCAGGGTGGCGTTAGGCCTTGTCCAGTCCTTTAGGAATCATTCATTTACCCAGGTAATGGCATTCACTCAATCAGATTTGTTCATTTGAAAAAGTCAGGGGGGGAGTGGGGAGTTTATGAGGTTGGTGACGTGTTCTGCATGGGTAACAAAGGCAAAGCAGGGGAGTCCTCGCCCACAGGCAGGCGATACACAGCTCACAGGCTCAGCTTCACTGTCTAAAGGCCGACGGGTAAAAGAATAAAGCTAAAAAAGGAAGATAGAGAGGGAGAGATAAATCTGTGTGACTGTGAGAGAATATCTTGTTCCAACGGAGATCAGCAGGACAATCCACAGCTCTGGTGAATCATCATAAAATCCTAAAATGTTCAGTGTTGGACTTTTACAATGTTCTGACTTTATAAACATTTCATTTATAGAGAACAAAAACTGGCTTGGGGAAATGCATTCCCATTTTTGGTAACTATAAGCCATTTATAGAAAGTCAATAAACGAAAAAAAACAGAGATTATAGTTTGTCCTCAATAAATTACTCAAAATACATGAAAACGCTGTTACTGTTGTACCAGTTCCAACACCACTCAACTATATCAAGTGTACTGTAAGGAAAGATTTAGTTCTTGGAGAACCGGTGTATCAGTAATAGCTGTAGCCCCTTTTCTATTCCCCATGATGCCCTTGGTTTGATTAATACAATTCATACTGTTTTTCTCCCCAGCATGCTCAACTGGCAGTGCAGCCAAGAGGAGAGGAGAGGAGAGGAGAGGAGAGGAAATCAAAAATTCAGGGCGATATAAGAAAGGAAAGGAAAGAAGAGGAGATCTGGGCAAAAGAGCTGGGCCGTAAAGGCTTTGAAGATCGGAGGGTGAACTGCTCGGGGCCCGAAGTGGCTCAGGGGGGAGGCGACACCTGCTGTTCTCAATTACCCCTCAGAGCCTTCAACCATCTCAGCCTTTACCCCACAGTGTCAACCACACTCACACCTACTACTCATCCAAACACACCAACCCTATTACTGTAAGTAATAAATATGAGGCAGAAATATGCCCCTGAGCCATCACACAAAAGCAATACACACGTGCGCACACACGCACACACACGCACGCACACGCACACACACACACACACACACACACACACACACACACACACACACACACACACACACACACACACACACACACACACACACACCAAGTTCCCGGTAACCCTGTTGCTCCATGTAGGATAACATTAATAGCCAGAAGAGTGACAGAACATCAATAACACACTGATGCTGGTCATTACAGGTTCTGTCAATCTCAGGTAAAACATGGGTCACATGTGTTCAAACACATGCGTGCGTACACACATCTGGGGCTGTTGACACCGAGCAGAGGTGTTTCACGTGTAATGTAATTAGACTTCAAGCAAGGGCGCTCTATTAGATAGCACATCATCTTTGAGCTGGATGTGTGAGCAGAAAGGTGCTGGCGCCTATCTGGACGCATCACGTGCAATTGATGACTCGCAGATAAGCCCTCCCCTCAGCCCTGCCAAAGAATGCATCAGGAAGTGGGGCGTTCGCTAAAACTACTTTAAATGTAAATCTGCCATGGCCTCAGGATTGAGATTCATTGTCTGCGCTGCTCTGAACCCCTCCAACTCCCCCGTTAGTGTTCGTATGTCGAGACGCCGCGGGTCGCGCAGCTCTTTGACTGCCAATGAGGCCTCGGCGCCCGGTCACTGTGATGCCCGCAGTTCTTACTCCTCTAGTCCCTAGTGGCCTCAGCTATCAACCCTGAATGCTTAATTATAAATGGTAATTACGGGGGTGATGGGTCAGTCAACTGGAACACGTTAGGCAACATCTTTTCAATCAGATCGCATCATCCCCTTTTGCCGTATAATGTTAATCTTTTTTCTCACTCTCCCGGAATGTCTGCTAAATGGTCATCTTTAATGAGAATTGGGGGGGAAACAGTGAAAGCAGCTAACTGAATCAGACTGAGATGAATCAGGAATTTAAGTTTTCTTAATATGATATCACGTATCCCCAAGGCTGTACAGATGGAGCTCAATGTTTGTTTACCCTACCCAATGTGTTCAACTAAATACAACAGTAATGATGAGCGGGTAGCTGCGCCCCTGGAGTTGTAATTCAGGGTAGGGAGACAGATCGTGCGCCTCCCCTCTTTCTCTCTATCTATACGCCTATGACTGCCACAGAACTCAGGCCCTGGCCCATTGCCCTCCAGCACAAAACAGATGTTCTCCCCGCACTTATCTCAATGAAAAAAAATCACAGACAATTTACAAAGAATATAAATTACGGTCGTAGCTCCACATCAGTGTCTCTGTCCCTATAAGACCTTGTAAAAGAGGATAAGGGTGAATTGGTGTTAGAGGGTGGGTGGATTGTTGGGGGACAACATAAGGCGGATGGAAGC